TGCGCTTGACGATGATGCTGTTTGTGCCCAGTTTGCCCCTGGAAAGCACCTACACCCTGGTCTGAGAGCACATAAATCATTGCTGCACTGTCTCGGGTGATGCCTTCAAAGGTGGCAACTCCTTTTGTTGCTGGAGACCCCATCATCCCTCCCCGACTGCACCAGCCACCTCCATCCCATGGACAGGTGCTTTCATGGTCCTAACAGCAAAGTTAAGCCATTTTTCCTGACAAGCATTAAGAGATTAAACACCTGCTTGTGAAGAGCTCTCCCACCTCATTTGCTAATGTGTAAAGCAAAGACCCCAAGACGTGTTATCCCTGCCCACCCCCCCTCCCAGGCTGGGCTTCAGCTCATCCTAGGGCACCAACTGCTCCTGGCACCCTGGGGGCAACAAGATGGGTCCATCAGGAGCCAAAGCCAAGTTCAAGGAGCAAACGATTCCCTTTTGCCCTCTCTTGGCCACAGGCACGTCCCTTTCTCTCCTCTGTGGCCTGAGATGCCTTAGAGCAGCTGCACCTTGACCAGTTTATAATTGGTGCTCCAACCCACAGGCACGTCCCTTTCTCTCCTCTGTGGCCTGAGATGCATTAGAGCAGCTGCACCTCGACCAGTTTATAATAGTATAGCACTCCAACCTTTTGCTTCCTCCACATCTCCCTTGGTTAAAAGAAATCCATTTGATTAAGAGGAAAGAAAAGCACCCAAATGAATTAACTTTCAGCAGGACTTTTGGGAAGCACTGCCATTACTGCTGCCTACCAGCAGCGGGGGGGAGGAAATGTCCGAGCTTCTTAAAATGAATCAAAATGTCTTTTAAAATTATCAAACCTTTCAATTGCCTTGAGATCCAGCTCCAGCCTCTGATGGCAATTACCCCCATCCTCCCCTTCTAGGAGAATTCAGCACCCGAGCCCCATTAAACTCCATTAAAAGGGATAATTAGCTGGAGACTGACAGTAATTTAGTCAGTTCATTTATCAGAGAGGATAAAGCCAAGCTGAAACACATTATTGGAAGGGTCTTAAAACTGGTATTATTCTGTGCTGTTGTGCAACAAACGTATCCCTCGCCGAAGGGACGCGGACCACGGTGTTAATTGGGATCGCTGGGGTGTAAATAATGTTTTGCTTCATAAAGTCTGGCTGGGGCGAACAAATTACTTAGCTCTCACACTACAGCTGAATTAAGAGCTCAAATGTATAAAAGGGTGTATCTAAGAATCGATAGTGGATCACCAGAGCATTTAATCACTGTTTTACTAATCTGCCTGCACTATCTGAACTCAAACTGACTCCTCACACTAAAATCAATGGCGCTGATATACTCATTAACGACGACGCTTTCGGAGGGATGAAACCATCAGAGTTTGAAAAACTCAGGGGCTGGGGGGGAGGCAGAGGGGCCGAAAGCTGTGAACAGCACAGGGGCTGCTGCTCCAGGGCTTCCTGGGAGAGTAAGAAACTCCCTGACACTTCCCTTAGAGGAATTTTCATTGCCATCTCCAGCACGTCCCGAGAGGGGACACCTGAAGCAGGGAGTGAACCAAGGCCCGTGGATGTACAGATGCAGGTCCTCTATGGGTTGAGGCTCAAGAGCTGAATTCAACCCACACCGTGGGTTTCCCCACATGCAAAGGGTCTTTTTTTCCCCCCCAATTCTGGTTCTGCCCTCTCACATCACTCTGTATCTCCCGAGCCAAACATTTCCCACCAGTTCAGGGGCTCTGCAAGACCTTTTGGGGCAGCTCTTGCCATTGCATCCCCCACTGCCTCTTCTTTATACTCCTCCCCAGCAGCTGAAGAGTCTGCCGCGTCCTCCTGCCAGGTTTCCTTGCATGACTACCCCAGCCCTGCCCTGCACCCCTCACACCCCTCTCCCCAGACTCCTTTCTCCCCAGCCTGTCAGTTCGGCTGCAATAGCTTCTGCTTGGCATCTACCAGCTCCAGACAGCCTCTCCCCAAAGGATTTTCTGAAATACATTGAATTTCTGACCAGGGTTTCGTCAGGCTGCCTGGAAAAGGATGTTGCTCAAACCTACTCAAAGACAGCATTTTCTTATATATATATATATATATATTTAATGCAATTATTGAACAAATATCAGAATGCAAAATTGCCCCTGGGATTGGAAAATGGAATTATATCTTCCAACAAACATGAGAAAATGGGTACCGATGTCTCTGTTAGCAACAAAATGTTTCGTGCTTAGAAACTGGTAATCTAACATCCCTCCAGGGAATTCAGGATGGTGAGAAGAAACGTTCCAAGGCAGCATCAGAAAGAAAAAGAAATATTCAAGTGGGACACAAACTGGATGTGGGGTGGGCAGGAGAGCATCCCTGGACTATCCTACCTCGGTGTCTTCACAGGCAGTTTGAGAGGTGAAAAGCCCAGCCACACTGAGCCCAGCATCACTGGGCACAGGAAGTCCACCCCACGCAGGGTGGCCACTCCAAGCTGCTGGTGTGGCCACTAAGCTGTATCAACACCAACAAGCAGGGCACAGACAGGGTACGTGGTGGGGCTGAGCTGCTTCTGCAAGGACCCAGTTCCAGCCTGTTTTGGAGGGCTCACAGACAACGTGGTTCAGACCAGCTGGGCAAATGGTGGTCCAGCACCACGCACAACCCTCATTTCACCTTAGCAATACAAGAACTATCTCAATGCACATAGAAACATCTCTGCTTGAGGTCAAAACCTCACATGGCTTAGCGGTGGATTTGGTATGTGAGGTTAATGGTTGGACTTGATGATCTTAAGGGTCTTTTCCAACCTAAATGCTGCTTTTCCAAGGGACACAGGATTTTCCCTGGGCTTCCTTCACAAGCCACAACCTGGGAAACAACCAACTCCCAGCAGAATAGCCCAAAAGCTGAAAACAGCATCATCATCCGAGTTACATCACACAGCCCAGAAGAAAGAGCACCATATGGCAGAGGGTGAAGTACGAGCATCCAACCACACCTGAGGGCAGTTATGGTCCAGCAGAAACGAAAAGTTGGCACTGGAAGTCTGGTGTGTTTTGTTGTAACTCCAACCCAAGGAGGTTCCACCCTAAGGAGGAACCACTGGCCAAAGCTCCCCTTTGAGTTTACTGTCCAGAAGAATCCACAAATGACACCCCAGTTGCACAATGCATTTGCACGGCTCCTACGCTGGATTCTAATGATGGTACAATTCCCAAAGACAATATCCAAGCCCAGAGCACTCATACACAACCGACACGACGCCCACCAGCCTGCACGCCCTTCTCCTCCTCCTCCTCCCCAGAGCACTATTCATTTTAAATGCCTTACCTCATTCTCGTCTATTCCGCATTTAATGGCTTTTGAACTTCAAAGGGCGGGGAGAAAACCCTCTCTCCTCACCATGCAGTTCAATATTATGCAGCCACATTACAGAAGAACACCTACAAAATACGCTGCTAAAAACACTCCCATTTGAACTCTTCCTTTGATATTTTTCCAAGAGCTCACAACACGCTGCCCTTCTCCCCACACAGCACTGGCACCTACTTCACTAACCAGGTAAATACTCTTCTTGGGGTCAAAAGGACTAATCATGTGCTTAAAATTATTTGCCTGGAGTACCTAGTTGAATCTGAGCTTTTATACCTAGAAGTTGCATGGCACTAATTAGAAATGTTCCTAGGTCAACATCATACACACACTGGCAGGTATATTCCAATATTACCTAAGAAATTAAACTTTTTATTGTTAATAGTATGTGTCCAACTCCAGCAAACCACTTTGAAAATCCAAAATAAAAATGTGCGCAATATACTAAATACAAATATGGATGCACACTATGTGTATGCCTCATGTGCACAAATGCTCTAAACATAAATTAAGAATACGTGAGATAAGATTTTAATTGTGGATTTAATAACAGCAAACTGCTAGAGCTACTTGCTTATTATTAGTCTTGAAAAGCAGCATGAAAATGATATTTTAACCTTTCATCTGTAACATGGTCTTTGCTAATAAAATTATCCCAGAGTCACCCAAGCACAGAGCTGATGTCAACTACTTAATATGCAGAATAAATCAAATGCCACTTACATATAGCAAAGAAATACCCACTCATTTCATGCTGGTCCTTACGCTGGTGGAGCCACACAACGAACACAGTCGAGCCTCGTGTCTCCTCTCCAAATCCTGCCTTTCTGCAAGAAACTCCTCCGACCCTCTGCTCCTCTAAACCACCCCTTTGCAAGACCACCATCCCCTGCCCATCGTCCTGGTAGCACAGGAACCAGCCCTGTCACACGCCTGGGGTCTCTGCATGTGCAAACCACTCCATATTTATTGAACTACACAGAGAGCAGCTCCCACTGACAGCACCTGAAGTATTGGGGAAAGACAGTAAACAAGGATTTGGGAAGAGTGGGGACCTGGCACACTCATCTACCATTAACCAGCCATGCCAACAGTCCTACTTCACCTTTCCAAAGCAAAAGCCACCTTGATGAGACAAACACCCCCATCTCCATCTCAGTCCATGGCGCCTACCACCAGAAACCAACTCACTGGTGCTTCATCTGACCTGCTGTTGGCCAACAGCCCACGGAAGTCAACAGAAAGAATCTTGGTAACTGACTTATTTCCATCAGGCATTAAAATTTCCAAAGAGAGGGGAGAAAACCCTCTCGTCTCACCATGCAGTTAAACATTATGCAGCCACGTCACTGAAGAACACCTACAAAATACACTGCTAAAATAACTCCCTTTTGAACTCTTTCTATGATATTTTTCCAAGAGCTCAGAATACTTTGCCCTTCTCCCCACCATCAGGTGGGATTTATTTCCACCAGGTATTAAAATTCCCAACATTCCCCAATCAAGTACAGGGAACGCCAGGAGGGATCTTTCCCAAAAGACCACACTTTCTCCTCCTACCTAGTGACACATGAGCAATAATCAATATAAAGAACACATAAGCAGATACCAAAAAGCCAGAAATCCAGAAACTCATCTGCCAAAAGTGGCTTTCTCTACCTGCAGAATAAGGCTCCTGCTTCTCGCTGTGAATGAACTCTTTTCGTTCGTATTTGGCTCTGATCCACTGTTCCCGCAGCAGTCTGGAAAAAAGAGAAAAAACAGAGAAAAGGAAACATGGTCCAAGATACTCTAAGGAAGAATCCAGAATCATTAATTCTTTAATAAAAATACAAATGTGATTTAAAAGTCTTCCAAGAATTGCATTGTACAGCCTAGAGTCAAGGGTTTCCTCTGTTTACTGTTGGACAACAATAAATTGTTCCCTTGCACACCCAATTTTATTGGAAACTTATTTAATAAAATTTACAGATTCAGCATAATAGTCCTGTCCCAGCCACCCCACCAGCCTCTCTACAAAATTCCCTCAGTATATGAATGATTTTAAACGAAATTTCCTCATACTACATTCTTCAGTAATTTGGATCAGTAAATGAAAAAAACCCAACAAAATGCATTCCAAAGAAAAATCTTTCAATGTGGAAGCAAAAATTGGCTGTGCCTTGTACGTGACGTTTTTTTGCCCATCAAAGCTGCAGAGATACCATCTCCTTGTCACACATGGACAGCTATTCAAACAAACTGGACACTTTAAGGTTAAAAGTGACACTTGTGACGATGAGGGGAAGCCCAGCCCAAGGATGGGTGACACTTGTGACATGGTGAACATGGAGCAGGGCGACACACACCTCCCAAACTAGGACCAAGAGGAATTCAAGTGAGAGGTGACCTCTTCAAAATGAGAGGGATGTAGGACAGTCATTTCCAAAGCCCCAGTCAACTTCCTGGAAGGTGTGAAAAGTGAAAAAGCCTCAAAAAGATGAGGAGAAGGTGGGTGGGTAAGGACGTGAATGAGACCCAAACACCAGATGGTGGTGAGAACCCACCTGGCAGAGCTCTCCCAACCTCACAGCCTCTACTGCTAAGTCTAAGAAAGAAATCCATGATGCATGGCAGGAAAAACACCTAGTGTGAGGTTTATTTACTATTTACTTCTCATGTTGAAAATGTTACCAATGATTTATACACTGAGACCTTAACTTCCAAAAAGGAAAAAAAATATCCCAAAGATTATAAATACTTTTTTGCGATTTTATTTTAGCACAAGTGCTGGAACTAATGAAGTAGTTTAGATCTAGAATACGATAGAAATTGCTTCAAACCATTTTTAGCTGCACTTAGTTCTTAACTGCCCTAGAACCTGAAATAGCCCAAGCAGCAGAAGTCACGCGCAGAAATAAAGGCACGTGTCATCCCAGCTCCGCAGCAAACACTTCGGAGTGTCCTACACTGGTGACAGTAAAAGATCCCCCACCATCGGGTGTGCTCTGAAAATCCTGTCACCCTTCAACACATCAACCTCTCTGCCAATGAAAATTGTTGGTGTGCTTAATTGCCTTTTATCTCTCTGCTAACTATGCAGATTTAACGCTATCTTTTCATCAGACACATTCCAAAAATGCTCAAAGAAGATGAACGTACTAATATGGTTTATGAAAATCCATCTGCAGGTACAGCAAACACATTCATCCAATCTGCAAGAAGCTATTCAATGAGAATTGTGGCTGTAATCAGTTTCCTGGCAGTAAAGGAGGAAATAATTACATATATTTTGTTCCACCCATTGTCTCATCCCCTTGGTTGGGCACCAGCCTTCTCCCACAAGGCTGAGGGAGCACCACAGCTTCCCTGCACCCAAAACTCAACTGTGAGCTTCTGCTGTCACAGAAATAACGCAAACTCTGCCTTTCCCCCTTCTGTTACTGTTTCTGTGGCTGATCTTCAGTTGTTACACACACATCTGCAAGTTTGACTGTGAACTCCCATCTCCCTTCTGCTGTCACCCGGTGCTGGGCCCCGGTGTGGGTATGACCCATCTCCAGTGCATCTCAGGAGGTTTCGGATGTGTTTTGTACAAGGGGGATCTTCTGGGTTAAGCAGGATGCTCTTTCTGGATCCAATATCCACAGCTTGGTAGCCTACAAATGCAGAAGACTGACGACCCAAAAGACAGTACTTAATCTGCTCTTTCTGGATCCAATATCCACAGCTTGGTAGCCCGCAAATGCAGAAGACTGATGACCCAAAAGACAGTTACTTAATTGCCTTGTTTCAACAAAGCTACCAAATTTAATCCCAAAATCAACACAGATACTTAAATTTGTTACTCTTCTTGCAGTTTTTCCAGCCTGGCTGCTGCAGACAGCTTGTTATCACCGTAGCCAAACCTGGACCTTTTCAATGAGACGATCAGGGACTGAACTAGAAGGAAGAAAACTCGCACCACCCTGGGCTCCAGCTGATGTCGGTGGATTCAGCAGGAGCTGCAGCTGCTCCGAGTCTCCCAGTCAGCCTTCCCGTGCGGATGTTTAAATACAGCCTAAATTAAGGTTCACAAGCAGCAGTGGGAGCAGACTCCTGCTGCACAGTGCAAATACTACAAGAGACACACTCTGCTGGTCCCGTGCCTTTGGGAACGCCGCTCCGCAGTGATTTATCTCCCAGGACGCTGTCAGCAGCAGTGGTTCCATATCTCCACAGCTTCCATGCGAGAGGCACCTCGCCCAGAGGGGTATCCCTGAGGAGCTGCAAGCTGCTCTCGATAACCTCTCCCAGCGTTTGGGACAGACCACAAGTCGCTCCGATGACAGGACACCAGCTGTGCCACTTTCCCAGCTCATGGGTTCTTCCCCTTTCCTCATTCATCACAAACCCAGGCTCTTTCAGCAGTAATTTTCCCAAAAACAAGATACACCAAGAGCAGCCCACGGTTAAGGACAACTCACTGCACGGCCAGTAGCGGCAGCTTCTGCTCTGGGGGTTATTTATAGAAAGCAGAACAACTCCAGTAAAAGAAACTGAAACAAAAACCCAAGGAGGACAGTGAGGAGTCCAGCATCTCCCTTCAGCGCAACAGAGGAGTTGAGCAGAAGTTGACCATGCTGACTCATGGACTGGAGGCAACCCAGCCAGGAGCCATCCAGCTTTTTAAGCTGCTCTTGAGTCTGATGTTGAACCCTAGTTTCACTGGCACAGCCAGTGCCAATTTAAACAGGAACAGAAATTTGTACTGGCATCTATGGGATCTGAGAGAAACCGGAGGACAGGGACTATCCAGAGGTCCCTCAAGCCACACAGTCTCCTCCACCATTTTCAGTGGGCTTCAGACCTGATCTCCATTTCAAATATGCCTTCAGGGGCATTTTAAACATCTGTTGCCGGGTTTTAGTTGAAACGTATTTTTCCTGAGGTGCATAATGTATGTAAATAACTCAGGGTGGACATCAGATGCCCAACATGGGACCCTCCATCCAACCCCCAGCCTTGATTTTGAGAGGAGTTCTGTGAACAGAGAGAACTATAGCAACAGCCTCATGGCATTTTATTGCATTTCTGGTGAGGGGATAATGTAGCAAATATATTTTTCTAACAAAAATGAACGGCGTAAGTGCATCATTCCTAAACTGCAGAGATGCACAGCTTTCGGGATCAACTCCAAAAGCTTTAACAGCCCACCTAAAGTCTGGCAGGCTGCTGGTTACCGGGAGTGTGTCATTTCTTTGGCAATTAGAACAGAAAGGTCTTTGTAATTATCAAGACAAAAACCTGGGAACAAAAAAAAAAAAAACCAAAAAAAAATCCAACCCACCAGAACCCAAAACCCAAAGGAAAAACCACATTTCCAACAGAACAAGGGAAAATTCATCCCCCGGATGGAACAGGACTGGGCTGCACTGGGGAGGCGGCAGGTCCAGAGGCCGACAGAGCCCCGCCAACACCACCAGCTCCAGATCTCATTTTAGGTACTTGTTTGCTTGCCGGGCCACCCACAGGAGAACAAGTGCTCTCTGTCGAAGGGCCAGCAAGGGGGACCTCAGAAGCAGCCAGAGGAGCTGTTTTATCTTGGTCCCACATTTTCACAGCCTTTCGCTCACAGCAACAAAACCAAACACCACGGGGAAAAGCTATTGAGCAGTTTAATATCCACCCATGGCTGTGTGGCTTTGCTGCGCTCTGTGGAGGAGTGCTGGGCAACCAAATGTATGGTCTCCAATTTGCTGTTGGAGCTGGCTTTCCTCGGCTTTGTGGAGGTGTAGGACAGACAAGAAGCCCCAGCCAGAGGTGAAAGTGGCCCAAAAGAGATCAAACACCATCCGCTGCCACCCCCTGGTTGCATCTTTCTGAGCCACCATCACGTCCAACGCAGACAGAAGAAATGAACGTTATCCAGGAATGCCATTTCCAAACCCCAAATTTGCAGCTTCTGGAATCTGTCAGAGGTTTTTCCAGCAAAAACCAATCTGCTTTCCGCAGGCAGCTCTGTGGACTCAGCTACGCCAAGTTTCTGTCAAACAACTGTTTTAATGAAATTTTAAGTCCGAGTCCAAATTTTTGCTCAGACGGTAAGGAGGGACACCGCAGTGTAGAGCAAAAGCCTGTGGAGCTCCACACCCTGCCTCCACATCTTTCCCTATCTGGCAAGTCCTTGCTGTGAGGACTCTGAAACGGGTTTGTGGAGGCATGAGACAGTTGGGGGGCTTCTTCCAGGCGCCCTGTGCATCACCCCAGCTTGCAGAGCCCCAGAGGCAACGTGTTGTCCATCCCTCCAAGAGCAGTGGCTGGCAGCAGCCTTCCGGAGGGCAGCAAAAAGACAGGGTTTTGAGCTACCAAGGCATAAAAATCTTGCCTTATGGATGCAAAGAAGTTAAAGCTAAATTTGAGTATGCAAAAACCCTAGCATGCTCAATTAAAATGCTAACTGGTTCCTTTTCTGTTTGGCTGTTTTACATGCAGGGACCAGTTCAGCACAACACTATTTTTCAGAATGGTTAAACACAGATTGAAAACATGCAGGAAACAGCCTGTGTCGGTTCTACCTCAACCTTGTAGCAATTTCCTCTGGAAATTAAAGGAATCAATATGAATTAACAGGCTTACGAGCTAACAACAAAGAGGACAGGAATGACAACTGTGGCCGGTGGGGGCTGAAGGAGAAGGCAGATCTCCAGCCCTGGGCTGATGGCAGAGCCACGCTCAGGCAGAGACTTCCCGAGGGCAAGTGCCCAGTTGGAGCCACCACAGGGAGCTCCACCAGCTGGGACCAGAGGAGCAGCCCCTCCGAGAGGCCACGCTGCAGCTCCTCCAGCTTTGCACCCAAGACAGCCGGCACTTTTGAAAGCCATGGATGTAAGATCTGAAGATCCTTATTAATAAAAGTAGGAGCCTGTGCAAAACGCTCAACTTGACCCCTCTGGACATTAAGCTTTAAAGAGGTCTGTTTACAAAGTACCAGCAAAAGGAGATGACAGAGCAAGATGAGACCAGGTAATAAATCCCATCCCTGGAGGCTGGATGGGATGGGGCTTTGAGCAACCTGGTCTGGTGGGAGGTGTCCCTGCCCAGGGCAGGGGTGAGTGGAACTCGATGATCTTTAAGGTCCCTTCCAATTCTAACCATTCTATGATTCTGTGGTAAGTCTGCATCCTTGACCATCCTTGCACAGGAGGGGAAGGGACTTAAGGTCCCTTTCAATTCTAACCATTCCATGATTCTGTAGTAAGGCTGCATCCTTGACCATCATCATGCCCCGTGCACAGGAGGGAAAGGGATCAGACTGACCTTCAGACACCGCACTGAGGTGATGGGCTTGGTATTTCCACTACCAAATGAACCAAACTTTCAAGGACAAAGTAAGAAAAAAAAATAAATTCCAGGGATTTACTAGGCAATTTTCCCTCTGCACATTTCAATCGTACCATCATGCAATAAGCCACGTAACTGTTCTTCTTCAGATGACTATATAGATGACTCCTCAAGATGTGAGCCTCTCCGGGATACATCCCTCTCTCTGAGTGATGTCTCATCACATTCCAGATAAGACAACCACCCAGTACCACTCACGCCGTTTCATTCTGCCCCATTTTCCCTACCAGGGTACTCAAATGTGCTGGCAGTCAGCGATCTGAGCGTTCTGCATAAGGAGCAGATGTAGCTCCCACTCACCCAAGCACGGCGAGGAGAGCGGTGCCGGGCGCTGCCGCTCACACACAGCTCCACAGAACGATGCTCTCTGCTCCCAAATGAAGCAAAAAGGCGACAGAAAATGACGTTAAGCATCGGGCAGGGACATGGATGTGCTTCCAGTACTGCAGAAGCCCAGTAAGAGCTTGTCTCCATCTTCTTCTACCAGTTTCCAGCCGAACATATGGCTGAACAAAGCCTCTTTCCTTTGCTTTTCCTCAGAAGTGATGCTAGCCCTGTTGCTCACCCAAAATTCAGCCATGTGCTTGCAGCGTATCTGCCCCAGAAAGGGCTGGTCCACAACTCTCCATCTGCTGCCACAAAGCTGGGCCATGACCACTTGTGACCATCCCAAGGAGGGTTTTCATGGTTTAAGCTCTTCACCCAAGGCTCCTTGGGCCAAACCTGGGGTGGTGTGGGGACACTCCAGAGCCTGGGGCTCATTGCAGCCCCGGGGACTGCCCGGTGGTGCAGGAGTTGGCTGCTCTGCCCCCTGCTCCCAACCCATAGGCCAAGCTGCTGGCAGGGGGAAGAGGAGAGGAGAGGACAGAAGGGGAATTTTTCTTTGGTCGGGCATTTTTTCTGCCTGTGCACAGCTGGTAAACTTTCCCTGGGCAATTCCAGAGCACTCCTCCAACTTCTCTAACTTTTGCCAAGTATCTGACAGAGCCAGGAAGCCACACGGGGGTTTCTGGAGGATGCAGGAGCCAGATGCTGCAGCCAAACACCACGTATTTCCCAAGGAGACAAACACAACATCCCGGGCAAGTAAGGAAAAAGGAGAACCAGTGACCCCCAGTCAAAGCAGCAACACTGGGAGGGATCTCAGGGACCGGTACCCACCAGTTTGCTAATACTAAAGTACTGGCTCTGGAAATCATTACCTCCAGACCCTCTGTGAAGACTGGTTTTAGAAAGATATAACCTCCCCTGGGTACTCGGCAGGGCTGGACCCTAAAAACCAATTTCAGGTCATTTTCTTGCTCCCTGGATGGCACAGCACGTTCTGGCCACTCAACTCTCTTGGTCTACAAAGTCCACCCCAGATTATAGGGAGGTTCACCCTACGCCGTATGGGAGACAGTATCTTTTAAATATCTTCAAAAAGGAGATAAAAATAAAGTAAAATCCAGCACTCTGGCACTAAATCCCAGCATTTTTGCATTATAAGTAACCCAGCATCTCATCTACCAGATGAGCAAGTTAACGTTTTGATGCAGAAAGGCAGAGGAAATCGATGGGTAGAAATTGGCATTTCTGTAGCTTCAGAAGCTTGGAGGAGTCTGGGGAACAGACAAACTATTGACTTCCCTGCCTCATCTCAACTCTACTTATTAAATAAGATCCCACACGTGGTATAAACTCTACCATATGCACGCAGAAGAACAAAGACTTTCAGGGCCTTTTATAAATGAAACCTCCTTTGTGGCTAAATAAAAAAAGTTTCATGCTAAAACTGAAATATTACAGAGGCTGCAGCTGCACAAACAAATAAATGGTTTTTACCAGCAAAGGTATTTACTTACTGACAGTCAAGAAACGTTGGCTTGTAATAAAATGGTGGCATTTTAGATTCGTATTTTGCTTTTGCTACATTGTTTCCATTTGAGGCCATAAACTGTAAAAAAAAAAAAGAGAGAAAATGAGAAAGAATTAAAAAATGTTAACGGTGTTTTCCCTTGTCTTCTTTTGTTTTTACAGAATAATGAAATTACTGGGATGAGGGCTCTGTTCAGGAGCTGAGAGGCTTCCCCAGGACCGTGCACAGAAGGGAGGCTGTAAAGGCTGTGCCTGCAAATCCGGGCTCAGAAATTAATATTGATTATTATTGCCAGGGCTCCCACAGCTTAATACGACACCGGGGACAGGTCCATGTCCCAGTCACACGTGCACGATCCCCAGGGAGCAGAAGGCAGCACGTGGTGCCATTTCCAAGCACTCACGGACACAGGAATGAGACAACTCCCAGGGAACCCAGCACAGAAACGGGGCAACCACTGGGCAAAACCTGACGCTGACTTTAAAACCCCAGGAGTTACAGCTCCAGCAAGGCAATAATCTCTGACAATATGTCCTTTGCCTTGGATCACATCACTTGCTCCAAAAGGATAATTTCATTCTTGCAAAGCCAGGCCAGCAGCCTCAGAAAGGAGCTTGAAGTACTAAAAATAAACAAATACATAAACAAACAAATAAATTCTATCTGCCCTGACAGCCCTCCTTTCCTTCTAATCCCGTATAAAAACGGCTAGTTGAGAACACTGCAAACAAAACAACCCATTTCCCTGTTCATACACTTCATCCAATGAAAATCACTTTACAAGTGTAAAAGCCCCATCCCTTTCCAGGCAGCCACATTAAATATGTTCTGTATCAAATGCTAAGAACACAAGCATAACAAGCAGTTCGGCTTTTTCTTCCCTCCGCCCCCCAATATTTTTATTTATTTTTTTTTTCATTATTTTGATGCTTTTAGGCTTCTCGAGTTTACACATTCAATCCACCTCAAAAAAAAAAAAAAAAAAAAAAGTGCTGTCTGTATTGATAGTGTCAGTGACACAGAAGCCATGGATATCCAGTGTTTTTCCATTTTGTTCATCTGTCTTTGATCTCCGTAAGCATACCAAATTACTTTCCCCTGCCTTGAAAACTAGTGTTTAGTATATTTTCCTTGGTAGGAATCATTGAGAATACTTCCTGAAATCTCAGCCTATGACCAAGGAACAGAGATAGACACATTCAACCCACCACAAAAAAAAAAAAAAAAAATCAGGGAAGGGAAAACCCATGCAATACAAAGGCCTATTTTCCTCGTAGAACACATGACTCCTCGAGCTGTGGCTTTCAGAAAAACCCCAAATCTACGACTTCCAAGATAAAGATCAGTGCCTGGGAGGGTTCCTCGTGCCTTTAAAGACACCAAGAGTCACGGCAGAGAGGTTTCCTGGGCAGGCTCCTCTTCAGCAGCATCACCCAGATCTGGGCAGGTGCGTGGCAGAAAGAGGGAGGGTTTACACTGTGAGGGTTCAAACTCTCCAAAATGTGCATTTAAGAGTCTTTGAAGGTACATGGAACAAAGCCAGGAACAGCTGAGCTGGGCAGAGGTGGCAGAGCAGAGGCCCAGCCCAACGTCTAGGCTACAGGTAACGCGAGAAACAGGAGGTGACTCATTTAAAATTAGTAATTTCTACCCACTCTATTTAACTGATATTTCTATAGGTGTGGGGGAAACCCTCCCAACTCCTTCATGAAACAGCTACTCCCTTCTTCCATCAGCATCACGGACCTCATCCCCCCAGTCAGGAATTATCTAGACGTGCTTTCCAAAATCATGTTTGTTGGGGCATCTTTAGAGAGGACTCTTATTTTATGGCTTTGCTGGTAAAATGCAGTGACCCAAACTCCCTGGTACCCCCAGCCCCGGGAGCACCTACCTCCACTTGAGCATCGTCCCAGTCATCCAGACGGACAGACTTCACTTTGCTGACCTGGGGAATATTGCGATGGATTCCGGAACAATTCAAGCAGATGAAGATCCCAAGGCTGTGGGACGCCCAGTCCGGGTCTGAAAGCAAGAAATAAGAGAGAATTGCACAGGATTGGTCATGGGTTCCACACAGGAGGAAGGAGACGGGGCAGGACAGGGCAGTTCAGGAGTCACCGGGTCCAAGTTCCCTGGTTTTAAGAGCATCAAACAAACGCACAAGCAAAATACAGATGTGCGTTCATTTATATTGATAGTTATACCAATTACACAAACAATTAACAGGTCTGCAATCTCTAGTGCAGCAATTATTAACAAAAAACCCAACACACAGACAACTGCGTGTGCCCGAGACCTCCAAAACTCACGCAAAGAGAGAAGAGATGAACGTCCATCTTTCATCAGCAAGTCCCACCAAATTGTGGAACAGAAAATCCACAATTAACACAAACGTATGCTATGCTGCTCCTGTGTTTTGCTATTTTATATTTATATTGCCCGAGCGTCAGGGGGGGGACAGAGAGGAAGGGGCGGAGGGCAGGGGCAGGACACATCTACCAGTATCCCCGGCGCTGCCCCCTAATAAAGCCGATACTGGGGTCTTTGTTTGAACTCCGACTGGCAAAATGTCAGCGCCGGCTGTTCCAGCTGAGCCCCAGCAGAAAGAACATCCCTGTGAAGCACTGACTCGGCCACTAAACCCCCCTTCTGCCCCCCACAGGGGTCCCCTCGCCCCATCCTCCCCCAGACCCCCCATTCCCACCCCATGGGGCTGTCGAGGGGTAAGGGGCAGGTCCCCCCCCTTCCCGCAAACCGCCCTAATTTGTTTATTCCCCTGCAGTAATTACACTAAACACTCGCTCCTCACAGCGCAGCAATTATTTATAAAAGGCAAGGGAACGTGCTTTATATTGATAGTTATACCAATTACACAAACAATTAACAGGTCTGCAATCTCTAGTGCAGCAATTATTAACAAAAAACCCAACACACAGACAACTGCGTGTGCCCGAGACCTCCAAAACTCACGCAAAGAGAGAAGAGATGAACGTCCATCTTTCATCAGCAAGTCCCACCAAATTGTGGAACAGAAAATCCACAATTAACACAAACGTATGCTATGCTGCTCCTGTGTTTTGCTATTTTATATTTATATTGCCCGAGCGTCAGGGGGGGGACAGAGAGGAAGGGGCGGAGGGCAGGGGCAGGACACATCTACCAGTATCCCCGGCGCTGCCCCCTAATAAAGCCGATACTGGGGTCTTTGTTTGAACTCCGACTGGCAAAATGTCAGCGCCGGCTGTTCCAGCTGAGCCCCAGCAGAAAGAACATCCCTGTGAAGCACTGACTCGGCCACTAAACCCCCCTTTGCACAGGCTATCAGGGGCTGCTACCCGGGGGGATGGCCACCACCACCCCCCAGCACACCCTAGAGAGGATGAATTTGGTTCCCAGGGGTGGCTGTGGTCAGATACAAACCCGTGAGGGTTCTGAGCAGCCCCATCGGACACAGCCAGGTACCCCCTGAGGAGAAGGGAGCAGATTCCCAAGCTATTGTAAGTCCCATCAGCCACAGGAAGAGGCTGGTGTGGGGCAGCACAGCTCCATGCACAGGCTATCAGGGGCTGCTACCCGGGGGGATGGCCACCACCACCCCCCAGCACACCCTAGAGAGGATGAATTTGGTTCCCAGGGGTGGCTGTGGTCAGATACAAACCCGTGAGGGTTCTGAGCAGCCCCATCGGACACAGCCAGGTACCCCCTGAGGAGAAGGGAGCAGACTCCCAAGCTGTTGCAGGTCCCATCAGCAGCAGGTCCCTTGGCACAGGGCTGGGACCAGCAGCCTGAAATAAAGGTGTTTTTTTTCCTGTTTCCCCGTGATCTCCCATCCTCATGCAACACCCCAACGATGACAGCTCAGGCCTGGCAAGTATAAAACCAGTCCAGTCCATCCAAGCACACCACAGCAGCAACCAAGCACTGCCCACGTCCAGCCGTGCCAGTGAGGAGACGGGGTGCTCTGCCCTGATCCCCCCACCGTGACCTGGGGACTCAGCTCCACACCATGCCCGAGGTCTGGTATCCCCACTGATTCTGGGACTGTAGAGTCAGGTTATAAGTTGGCATCAAGAATCAAGCCTTTTGCAAGCCCGTGCACATTTCCATGCTTTAACCCCTCCTGTGCTCCTCTCCCATCTCCAAACACGTGGCTGTAAAGTCTGGGACCTGTCAAACTTCCTACCACGAAAATGGCCCAAGGTGCAGCACTGCTGGCCTGTGGTAGCCCAAGACCATGGGACCAATTGATGTGAGTCAGGCAAGGTGACAGCATTGGAGGACTTCATTAAGAAAACCCATCTATGACTTCCACGCAGAGGACCAGGATCAAGGAAGGAGAAGAGGGTCCGGAGGACGGGGTGCCCACAAAGCAGCAGACAGCATTGGAGGACTTTATTAAAAAAATCCATCTATGACTTCCACACAGAGGATCAGGATCAAGGAAGGAGAAGAGGGTCTGGAGGATGGGGTGCCCACAGAGCAGCGGTGAGGAAGAGGAAGCCACTGCAGCTTGGAGCTGGTGGTGTTTCAAGCCATCCTGGAGTAATGGGATCTGATCAAAGCAGTGCCCGCTCAGGGAAAGGGGTATCAAAGTATGGATGGGCTGCCACAGGATTTATCGGGAGCCCCAACACTTGCTGGATGTTACCAGATTTATCTTAGGCACATAGATAGATTTCTTCATACTGTCTGCAACTTCCTAGACTCAGGTTTCCAAAGTCCTCTCGAAGCAGTAACCCTTCCGCTGCGTGCACTGTGTGCAACAGGACCAGGAGACACACCTTCTTCTGGCCAGGGATAAGGACACATTCGGGTGGAAGAACATCCAGCAGGAAAATCCTCAGGCTCAGATGAAGGAGATTCCAGCCCCAGTGGTCACTGAGACAACTCATACCCAAGCTTCTTGACACAGGCAAACAGCACCTCAAGCAATGTTCTTCAATCACAACTGGGGCTTTGAAGCATTCTCCTCACACCAGCAGTATTTTCTTAAACATGCTTCCCCCCTGCTCCACACCCTGTCAAGCCACGTCTAATTAAGAGAGCACAAGCTGGGCTACAGGCAGGAGCATAAGCACATGGTTTCCAGAAGATGGTAGTACTTCAGAGGAGCAGATGGAGATGACAGGGTCAGTGGTGACCCAACCCTTGGAAGGGATGCTCTCAGCTTGGCCCATAAAACCACACCTGCCGGCTCTCTCTTCCTGGTCACCTTCCTTTCAGTGTTTCCTCTCTTGCCTACACCCAAGCTCCATGTCCCTCCAACACCAAGAGCATCCTGCACCACAAACGTCAAGAAGCACCGTGACAGAGCTGCACCCCTCGCTCAATGCACCAGACCCGATACCAGGACTTCGTGTTGCTGCTGAGTATTAATAGCAACTTCCTCTTCATTGCTCTTCTGGTTTTAAAAATACATCTCTCTCAAATCCGAAATCATGCAACAAAGGGAGATCTCCCCTCTTTCAGGGTCAAACCCTTCCCCCTCCTCCTAGGGCTCCCCTCCCTGATCCAAAGTCCCTCCCCAGCTTTCCTGGAGCCCCCTGAGGGACTGGAAGGGCCTCGAAGGTGTCCCCGGAGCCTTCTCTTCTCCAGGCTGAACCCCCCCAACTCTCTCAGCCTGATAACACCAGCAATCTCCAACCTCAGCATAATCACAGACTCCAACCCTTCTAATGACCGTGCTGCTGCTTCAAGATAAGACACCACTGTGTCGAGCACAGGAATAAGTTCACATCAGCATCTTTGTACGAGACAAGTGAGTTTTGCAGCAGCACCATGGGTTTGGTCAAACAGTGGCCCCGGACTTTAGGGCTGATGAGCAGAGGTCTCCACAGTCAGCCAAGGTCCACCTTGGTCCTGGATGCTTCAACACGTTCTCTGTGCTGGACATTACTGGGGAGTTCAGCAATTTTATTTAAGCCATTTTATCTAGGCACAGCTCAAAAAAGTGCACAGAAACAGCAATATATCATAATCTGGACCTTTTTTGGGCACTACCCAAAAACGATGATTTTCTTTCTAAGCCTCCAGTGTTTCAAGCAAACAGCAGTGAAGCTTAATGAAAACTCTCTGGCATGCCCAAGTTCCACACAAATGACTTTATTCCATTATGTCAAGCCAAAAGGAATAAAGACTAACAAGGAGCAAGGGGAACATTAAACCAAATACACAGTTCTAAGCGCAGAAAGCCTCTTCTCCTTCAGCGTCACTGCTCCAGAACAACTGGGGCAGCTCTAGAAGGCTTTCACTGCCCAAGGGGGTAGAGATTTCTGGTCACTTATAAACAGATTATACGCCATTTTAAAATAAAAACCTGATACAACCTCATTTAGAAAAAAATACACAATAAACAAAGCTAAACTAAACTGTGGAGAAGGACACTGGGGTGGTACTTTCCCATCTCATCCATCTGAGAGGGAAGGCACAGCCAGAAATTAGAGAAGCTCCCAAACAGAACTAAACCACTTGGGCAACGCAGCTAAATTCAGAAATTAACTTCCCCACCCAGCCCCTTTTGCCACCACAAGCCCCAGGAAAACCCAGCGCAGAGAACGATGAACTCCGCAGCTTGAACCCAACGTTACTCAGGGTAAGAAGGGCCCAGGGAGGGAAAATTGAGGGCTGGACCCAGAAAAATAGTAAACAAGAGGAACCAACATAAGACATAGGACTATTTATACAAACCAAAAGCAGAGCAGAGAAGATTGGAGATGGGATGGCACTGGTTTTTTTTTTTTTTAATAAATAGTCAATATTTCCTGACTCCAGAACATAAACACAGCGTTCTAGTTTGAAAAGCCCTAAATGGCATCAGCCCAAGTAAAATCCCATGAAGCAGAGTGGCAGCAGGCAAGTGCAAGAACTCAGGAATCCCAAAACTTACTCAGATGCCCCTGCTCCACCTTTGCCTTAAACCACAGTTATCACTGCATAGAGCAGCACAGTACAGTTGTTTTGCTGGGACAGAGATTCAACAGATTTTTCTGATCTCCCTCCCCTGTTTAAGGTGATAAAAGTAA